CTCTCTCCCTTCCCCTCTCCTCTTTCCTCCCCCTCTTCCTCTCTCTCTCTTCCTGCTTTTCTCTATAAAAAAAAACATATCCTCAGGTGAGGATAAAAAAAATCCCTAACAGATTTCACTATTAATTGCTTCTAAAATTAAGATAAGGCTAATAAGAAAAAGTATTAAAAATATACCACATGTAATTCAGTATTTCCTTTGTTTATTTGTGGTTCTCTATAAGCCTTAAAAGTAGAGCCTTTCCTAACAGGAACTTTAATCCGAACACCAGGTCAGAGGGTGTGTGTGGGTGTGCATTTCTTTGATAGATCCAAACAGGGTCTTCTGGATCTTAGAGTTCTTTAAATTCTAAAATGGTAATTTCCAACTAGTGTGCCACAAGAATTTTTAAAACATGCATTATCTGACTAATTAGGGGCACCGACCTCTTTTCCCTTAGATTGTCAAATTAAAAGATGATAGCTAACACAACATCCAGTGTGAAAAAATCAAAATTATACCTATTTTTTTTTTTCAGATCAACAAAAAGATATATTTTTGGTGTGCTGCAGAATTTTAATAATTAGTTTATGTGCACATGAGATAAAAAGGTTGAAAATCACTCTTCTAAAATCTCAGAGATTAACTAATAAGCTCTTTAATGAGGTTATGTCTCCTTTGGAAAGATCTCAGAAATTTCCAGAATCACAGAACTTAAGCTTTAACTCTGTGCCCCAGTAGAAGTTTAGATCATATTATCTATGGGAAACTGGTCGCCCTGGTGCTCCTTAAATGTAACTAATGTAGTTGCTGATGATATTTTTCTTTTCTCCAGCATTCATTTCTTTTTTCTTGACTATATTTCCCTCTTCTTTCCATCTGCCTTTAAAATTGTCCTTTTTTTGGTAAATAAGTGAGTAGCTATTGGATGATATAGTTAGATGGAGGCAATTGGGCTGCTCTATGGAAATATTAAGGGGATTGTGTGTTAGTTATTTAGTGGCCTGGGAAGGTGTGAGTGTTTGAATATTTTTAAAAAACATTTAGCTGGTTTCTTTCTGTCCCTCGAGCCTGTATACATAAAATCAGCAGTACCTTGTGTTAGGGAATGGAGTATGCTCATCAATTCTGCCATTTGCTTGTGCTTAACCTGTTTCATATTAATTTAGTAACATTTTTCAAATACCAGATTTTGTGCTCGGGGCTAAGAATACAGGAGACAAATATTCAGCTCTGTTTTAAGGAATGGGCTCCCAAATTTCTATCAGTTTATCCAGCCTATGGACCCATTCATCTTTCTTCATTCCCCAGGTTTCCACCTCAGATGCTGCCTCTTTGCTCCAGTGATTTAAAAATGACTTATACTCACTTTTCACATTTGAAAAGTGTTTTTTACAGTCTAGTCCATTTAGTTCCTCCTTTTAAAATAATTGAGCCAGTTTCTCTGTCCCCTTTTGTTATCATGTGTGAATCCGCAACCATCTGAAGTAACTCATGCTTGGAGAATTTTCTATCCATCACCTCTCAGGGAGCCTCATTGCTCCTGTTCTGGCAGTTTATTGCTTAAAACGAAGCTCTTTGTGTTGTTGGTGGTGGTGGTACCATGTAAGTTATAGTCTGTGTACTTTCCTTGGATTGACACACAGTTTCCTTCCCTGGTGGGAGAATCACTTAGGGAAATGATTTGAATTAGGAACTGGACTCAAATATCTAATGCAGATAATAAATCCATAAAAAAGCTAGACTTCACATCAAGCATTCCCAGACTCCTGCCTGCTTGCTTACAAGAAAGAGTGGGGAAGGAGCATCTAATTGGCCTAGCTCAGTTGTATTAATTACCACACCTTGATAGAGGGAGGTGACAGAATCTAGGTGAAAGGTGAGTGATATACATTCAACTCATTGTATAGCTATACTACAGGCCCCGTGCAAGAAGGTTCCTGCAAGAATGGGCCTTCCTTCCCCAGGATGCCGGCACTGCCTTTGCTCTAGCCGGAGCCACCTTCCCATCTTCCCATGCTGCCAAGAGACCCGGAGCAGCTGGGATGGTGCGGAACACCTGCACTGTGATGGCGTTGATGCAAGCATCCCGCCCCACTCCCAGCCACTTGGCACCTGTGTATGTAAATTAACCCACCATCTTTGTTGGGTTAATTTGCATACCAACTCCTAATTGGCTGGTGGGCATCACGAAGATGTGATCAATTTGCATCTTACTCTTTTATTAGTGTAGAAGATGGGCATATGGTCAGTAATGATTATATATACTCTTAAAATGTAAGTCCCTTGCAGGAAAGGTTCATATTATAGATCTGTTCTGTGCTATACCCAGCACACAATGAATTTCTGATAAATGCAAAGCATTAAAGAGGATTGAGCTCAAAATATTAATACAAATATTTTTTAATTTCTTTTTTGAATCTTTATTGTTGAAAGTATTAGATATGTACCCTGTTTTCCCCCATTGAGCTCTTCTAGACTGCCCCAAACCCTTGCCCCAGGCCTTCACCACCTTATTGTCTGTGTCCATGTTTAATTTCTGTTTTTCCATTTCCTTTGAAGGACCAGGTATGCCAATGACAAGTCATTGTCATCTTGCTATGAATTAATGACACATAGACTGAGCAAGAAGTTCCTGGAATTTGTAAAGGGAACTCATTGAGGCTTTCTGTTTTGGAGAATGTGCATATGACATTCATCTGTCAGAAAAGTAGGGCTAAGGGGCCACAAAAAAACCCTGGGGTGAGAGTGGGAATGCAGGGTCATGTGTGAGAAAACTTTTGCATTGTTTGATTAACAAGTCTAGAAAATGAGAACCATTCTTGGGAAACTGGGATTTATTAATTCAAGAATTTGCTTTGTCAAATTCTTTATTTCTCATGTTTGAGATTATTTGAACATATACTTAAATAAATGTTGGACCATTAAACTTTGCCTGATTTGCTACTATTTCAATAAGAAAATATTCTAATCCCTGAAAGTTTCCCTCATGAACATAGTATAGGAAAGGGTGTTGGCCCTACAAAGTTTCCATCCAACCCACTAGTCACTTCTCCATCTGTGAAAAAGAACACAAAGCTGGATAGACTTTCCTTCTAATGAAAAAGCCCAAAACTAGGGAGCAAGATCACCTGTTAAAATTGCAGTGTGACAGCATACACCTTGGGTTCCTGTTTGCAGTCTTTTCACTACTAGTGTTAAATCTTTAAAATCTCAGGTAATCATGATCCAAGGCAGGGCTGTGTATCTGTTGTAAGTAGCAGAAACCAACTCTCATTATTATAGGCAAAAGGAACTGTATTGGAAGGATATTAAGGATTCATAGAATTGATAAGAAGACCAAAGAACTAATCTTAGAATAAACAGAAAACAAGACAACTATGAAAGTCCAGGAACCAAGGACTAGGAAAATAGTGGTGCCAACCATTCTTAGCTTCCTGACCACAGGGAAATCATGGGGAAGGAGCATCTAATTGGCCTAGGTTGGGTCCCGCTACCACACCCTGCTGGAGGAAGGGTGGGGCTTCCAGATCTTATCTAAGAAAGTCATTCTCCAAAAGGAAATAAGGTTGCACTCACTGGGAGCAATATATGCTAAAATAGTCAAAAGCAACAGATGCCCACCACTGGGTAGTAGAAGGGATTGAATGACAGCAGAAGGCAGTACAGTTTTCCTTTGGTAAATGAGAGTTAGGAACATGTGCTCATGTCCGTTGCCCATGAGGTGTGTCTGTTTCTGTCCTGTATACCCTCCTTAGCCCACCCCTTTCTCTCTCTCTTAATTTGGGCTCTACGACAGTCCTGTTATAATGTTGATTTGCACACATGTGGCATACTAAATCCTATATAATAAAAGGCTAATACACAAATTGACCCAATGACTGAACTACCAGTCCTTATGATGCACATTGACCACCACCTGGCAAATGCTCAGTGCAGGAGATGCCCCCTGGTGATCAGTGTGCGCCCACAGGGGGAACACTGCTCAGCCAGAAGTCAGGCTGGTGGCTGGCAAAAAGCAATTAGCTGGAGCCTCTCCTGCCTCCACGGCAGCGCTAAGGATGTCCGACTGATGGCTTATGGGTCACGCTAACCCTAGGGTTAGACCCTAACCCTAACCCTAACTCCTATGCGGAGCAGGCCTAAGCCGTCAGTCGGACATCCCCCAAGGGCTCCCAGACCGTGAGAGGGCACAGGCCAGGCTGAGGGACATTTCCCTATTCCCCCCCCACCCCCAGTGCACAAATTTCATGCCTGGGCCTCTAGTATGAATATAAAAGTTGTTGGTATTGAAGCAGTTTTATACTTTGATCAATTTTGAGAAATAGATTTTTTGGTAAGGCCCTCTTCCTTGACTAATTCAGTGTTTACCACTTGCCCTGTGGTTTAGTTTACTAGCTAACCTGCTCTATCCCTAAATGCTCAGATATTGAGGATTTTGTATTTTAAGTATGTTCTTCAGGAGCCAGATTTTTCCTTTTGGACTCTCTAGATAAATTCACAACCCAGTCTGCTTTCAGTTGGTTGTTGGGGTTGATTTATGCATGTAGCACACTTACTAAGCAAGCATTGCTCAGTGATTAAAACTATAACTTTAAGGGAATATTAATTTACTCTGCCACACCTTCTTATTGCAGATATGGCAATAGAATCCTACAACTTACTCTAATATCTATTCTCCATCTCAAAAGGAGAGTGCAGCCTTTCAAAAGGAAATGAATTTTAATATCCTGAATGTAGGGAGGGCACGTCTCTTTTTCTTAAGTGTGAACACTTAATAGCATTTATAGTGTACCTCCTGGGTATAAGAGAAAAACGATTAAATGTGGCTTTTATAAAATTAATTTTAAAATGATTATTTAATGATTACACTCCTATTTTAGTCTCTAAATTTAGACTCTAAATTTCTGTAGTTCTTGCCACCAGCTTCTGAACTTAATCTAATCCTGGACTGAAACCCTGGACATTTTTGAGGTCATTTGGAGGTTGTGAATACCTGACCTGCTGTGCTTCTCTTCCAGCATCCAGTGCTTGATGAGCCCATAGCTGAAGCTGTCTGCATTATTGCAGACACGGACAAGTGGAGTGTGCAGGTGGCCACCAGTCAGAGGAAAGTGATGGACAGCACGAAACTAGGCCAGGATGTCCTGGTCTCTAGTCAGGTGTCCAGTTTACTTCAATCCATTCTACAGCTTTACAAGCTTCACCTCCCTGCTGATTTTGTAAGTATTTGTTTTCACATCACCAAAGAAATATAGTTTAAAGACACTTTAAAAAAAAATAATAATAATGGTTTTCAACAGGTACAGTTAAACCTCGGTTCTTGAACATCTCCCATCTTGAGCAATTCGGTTTTTGACGAGGTTGTTCATGGAAAAAAATGTCTCAGTCTTTGAACAAAAGTTTAGTTCGGGACCTGACAACCCTTTCATGCTGAAACCTCAGCTTAACATATCGAGCACACCGATTCCTGAAGGAATTGTAGTTTCTTTTCAGGGATAAAATAGAATATTGCTTGTGTCAACACTTGAAATTCTAAAGTGCCATACCCATAGAAGATGGTATCCATTATTCCTTTTCAAATGGGATTTTAAAATCACTTTCATGACATTATATTAAAATCAAACAACGAATGAGCCATCAACTCCTAGAAATGATCAACAGCTTTTCCTGAGTTATTGGAATTAATATACAAGGCAAATTCTTTTCAAGGTGTGTGTGCATGTGGAGAGAGATTGAAAGACAAATATATTTAAAGAGGAAGGAAGAAAGGTTTCAAAAGTGGGAGTGAGGCTTGAGGGCATCACTAGGAAAAACTAGATGAGCTGCCTTTGGGGGCATGGGCTCAGATATAAGTATGCTCACCTTCTCTGCTCCTTCCTCCCTCTGCAGGCTGCTACTCCGCAGAATAACCCCAAGCCAGGACATTTGTTATCTCCCTTCTGGCCTTCACAAAAGATAGAGATATTTGACAACAAAGTTGGAAGCTAAATATTAATTACCTACACTAATTGCTATTGGAGGGTAATTTTCCTGAGTTCTTATGGCTGAATCTACCAGGGGTACCACATGCCTCAGAAAGAGCCAGGATTTTTACGGCCTTGAAGATGGTGCTTTGAAATAACCCTAAGTAGACAGTGTGGCATAACAGTTACTGGGTTAAAGTCTAGGCTTTGCCATCGATCAGTTGTGTGGTGGTGGATAAGTGTCTCTGAACCTCAGCTTTCTCATTTGTAACAAGCATGTTAAGAGAATCCTCTGAATATTAGGACTGAGGTACTTATTGCTTTTTCAGCCATCAAAGCGGAGCTTGAACAGCCAGTATACAGTCATGGCCACCACCTGGGCTTGAGAGTCCAATAGCCAGAAGTCAAACATAGGCTCAGCTGCTTCCTGTGTGACTTCTTAAAGTCTCAATTCCCTTATCTGGAAGGCTGGGGAAATAATAGAACCTAACTCATAGGGTTAGGAAAGAAAATTAGATGATTCACGAAAAGCACTTGGGATGGTGTTAGATGCTCTAAGCACTCAGGAAGCAGCTACTGTGTGTACGATTGTTAATAACTACTTTCATAAAAAAACAAAACAAAAAACAACAACAGTTAATTCTTGTAAAGACCAACACCACATTTTAACTAAAATCTTTATTTAGGCTTTAAACTGAAGTTTGCTCTTGCAGGACACCTGTCCTGGGGATAATCGATGAGGGACCCACAGGTTCCTATCATCTAACTTTCGCTCTATATTTAGAGTCATTTTTTCTTTCTAGTAGCAAATTTCATCATGCTGATTTTTAGGATGACGTCTCTTTTTCTGTAAGGGAAGGAAGATATGTTAGATTTTATAGATTCTTACTGTTTTAAGTATTTACCAAACTTTTATATTTTATTTTCCAATGCATAGCGCTTGTTACTTTTGACATCTTTATTTTCCAAACAATAAATTATTGTAGCTGATTTTTTTTTTTTACATCATTTGGGCCAAAATATGTTTAACCACTTAATAATATGCATGACTTACTTAGCACCACAAAATCAAGATCAGAAGAAATTTTATCTGCAGTTTAAAATTCACCTTAAAAATCATTTCAATGAAACATATAATTAAATGTCTATTAGAGTCATCAGTATGAAAGGGAAAGTAGCTATTTAAATTTTCAGAAATTAAAAGTTGAAGAAACCCATCTCAGGATTAAGATACCAGAAAGAAGGAAAAACTGAAACAATTCTATTTAATAATCAAGCCTTAAAAAAAAATTCTAAATACTTTGATTTCAAAAATAGTATACATTCCATCGCAGCATATAATTTTCATGGAGACTATGAATACTCTGCAGTTTAACTATTCTAAAACACAAAAGATTCATGTAATGTGAATATTTTTAATATTTTATAAGATTCTTATTAAAAAATTTTGTATTTACTCCATAAGGAACTAAAACTTAATAGGAGGGAGATCCTTTCACCACTAAACTCTTTATTTGGGGGACCATTTTCATGAGGATTGGTGAAGTCCTCCTTGCTTTGATTATTACTCTTAGTCACTTACCAGTTGTGTTTTTTTCATCCAACACAAGGCATTTAAGATTTTAAACCAATGAAAAACTGAAAAGATTACATCTCTAATGTATACTTTTTCCATGTCACTGATCAGGCCAGATGGTCAAGATCAACATTCTCAAATGCATCTGTTAATCTTTTTTTTACCTTGAAAATAGCAGGCGTAATGGTCTAGAAGAAAATTATGTGTGATAGAATTACCCTTGCCAAAGCCATCAGGTGTCTTACTGAAGATGCTTGGAGAGCTCTGCCTGCCAAATGCAAAAGCATTTGCCTCTGGTGAAAGACACAGATGGTTGCTGTTCTCTAAAAAATTAACTTGGACACAATTCCAAGGATAGTGAAGTCCTGAAAATAATTGCCCTTTCTTTATTGTTTTTAAAGACCTAGTTAAAATACACTCCAGAGCCAAAAACAAAACAAAACTTCAAAATATAGTTCTGGGAATGTATTGTGCCCAAATAATCTGATATATAGGGAAATATATATCAGAGATGTTCTTTACAATATTTAGAACAAATGCAAATTTCCATGTGGTTAAGTAAATAATATAAATTCATATTCTTAAAAAAAAAATTAGCCACAAACCAAAGCCGGTTTGGCTCAGTGGTAGAGCGTCAGTCTGTAGACTGAGGAGTCCCGGGTTCGATTCTGGTCAAGGACATGTACATTGGTTGCAGGCGCATTCCCGGTGGGGGGTGTGCAGGAGGCAGCTGGCCAATGTTTCTCTCTCATCGACGTTTCTGGCTCTCTATCTCTCTTCCTTCCTCTCTGTTAAAAATCAATAAAATATATTTTTAAAAAATTAGCCACAAAATTACATTGATAAAGAATTTTTACTAACACAGGAAAAGGATTATTATCAAGTTTCTTAGAAGCATTTATAGAATGATTTCAACTATGTAAAAAAACAAATGCTTTTTAGAAAAGACCAGAGGATAATATTTGAAAATCTTACTAGTCATTGGAAAAAAATAAACTTTGTTTTACAAAACCTACCAGTGATAGGGTTTGAGATGGCTTGTAATTTTTTAAGTGTATTTGAAAGAGGTTAGATTCAAAATGAATCAAGAGAACCCTAGCTTTTAGAATGCTGGCAGAGGTTTCCATTCTAGCCCTCATTGTGAATGTTATTGGCTTCACAGTGCATCATGCATCTTGAAGACAGACTGCAAGAGATGTACCTGAAAAGTAAGATGCTGTCTGAATATCTTCGTGGACACACACGAGTCCATGTGAAAGAATTAGGTGTCGTACTGGGGTGAGTTCGGTGAAGTGTCACCATTTCTGCTCCCTGTGTCCCTAGCACTGTACCCACGGACCCATTCGTCCTGTGCCACCCTACACCTGCAGGCCCCGGGTGCCCATGGAAGGGTTTGGGGACCATCAGCCATGTGTCTCTTCTGCTCTCCAAGGAACAGCATGTTCTTTGTTTCTGATAGTGGAAATGAGCACAGAACTTTAAGCTGCGGGTACTTTATGTTAATCTTCTCCCTGGGTTATTTTAGGTGTGAAAGTGAAAAATTACACTCCACTCTGTTTGCCCATCTGTAGTCATTTCAGTAAGATGTCCAAGTCACAAGCCGTCAAATGCAGCCATGACCTGGGGGAGGCAGGGGCCTGCCTGCCTGTTCACGGGGGCTGGCTGTACCTTCCTCCCTGTGTGATAAGCCCACCAGAAGAGGAGATGTGCTTATGTTACTCATGTTGTACAGCATCTTCCCCAAGGGTCTCTGCCATGACTTCTCTAGGGAAGAGTGGGGACCTGTCCTCCTTACCTACAATGATGGTTCCCCTAATTTGGGCAAGAAAATATTGTATATGTATTGTCGACCTTGAAGTTTTCTATTAAGCCTGCCAATCAAAGTGTCAAGATTCAGGCCTTTACTATGTTTTTGTGTTTGGCTCTTAGCACTTCATGGTATACGTTTTTCTTACACACTTCATTTTTAAGATATTTCCCCCTTTGGAGGCATTTGCTTTTGCAGTTAACTTACGGAGTATCTCTTGCGTGTGTGTGTGTGTGTGTGTGTGTGTGTGTGTGTGTGTGTGTGTGTTTCCTTAGTTCTGATTTAGATCTCTTGACCACCCTCATACTTTGGTCTTGCTGCATGAGTTTTTCCATTGTGGATGTGGGTCCTATATTTCCAGGACACTCACCTTCCCTGATTCTGACAGGTGTCCATCATCAACACTATTAGACGGTTCACAAGTCATCTGTAGGCCCTGTTAGTACCTTTTTAGCGGGAATCATCCCAGCCTCTCTAGCCCCTTCCCCACTGTGCGCAGACCTGGAAGTAGACCTGCAGGGAGCATCACTGGAAAAGGCACAGGAAAAACTCCATGAGGTCATTTAAACTTTAATTTTTGTGTGGAATTTAATGGAAAGGTTAGGACATATTTCACGGACTGAAGCAATCCTCCTTTCATTTATTTTTCCCCCGGGACATTTATCAGCATTTAGCCTAGCCCATGCCATATCCGCCTCTGCTTTAAGAGAGGCTGCCAACGCCAGGTCCATCAGATATCATGTCTCTTGATTCAGCATCTGTTAGTGTTGCTTTCTCTCAGAATGTTGTTTAGTGAGGATCTAAGTTGTATAGCCTGTTGAACAAATCCCAAAGTTTTTGAAGAAATTGCCACCTTCATCATTTCCCTAAGACAAGGTATAACTTAGGAGCTGTGTGCATCCGGGATGTTGACTGGAGGAATGAGGAGGCAGTGGGGGAAACAGTAAAGTATAACAGTGAGGCTGTACAGGGATCTGTACAGCCTCACTGTTATAGGCTGTAGAAGAACAGTTGTATGGGCTTGGGCTTGGGGCCCCTGCTGTAGAAGAACAGTTGTATGTCCACACGTGTGCCCAGCACACCTCCTGGCCTTTGTCCTCTGGCCATTGTCCGCTGGGAAGTCATAATAAAAGAACAGGTTTTTCATCATCCTGCCATTCCTCTTACTTTTTCTTTTGTGTTAAGCAATGATATGGCATGCTTGGTCCCTAGCAATATATTTAACTGCAGAATCATGTTACTTTAAATTAATAATTTTTTCCCTTTTTTTTCAATATTCAGGATTGAATCGAATGACCTGCCTCTGTTGACTGCTATCGCCAGTACTCATTCTCCGTATGTGGCTCAGATACTCTTATAAGCTTAAGCTCAGGACCATTCTTCCTTGGCAGAAAAAATATACACATTCTCATGTGAAGGAGAAAAGAATAAGTCTCCATGACATCCAAAGCATAAGAAGAGCAAACAGACACAGTCATTCCACCGCTTTGTCTTGTTTTATCTTGTTGCTTTCAAGTGGATGCTTTATTGGAACTTAGGTTTACTTGACATGATGGCATGTGTGTTTTTCATGAATACTGTACGCCTTTTGTTACCCAGGAGTCAACAGAGAGAGTGACCTTTTTGGAAGGAGGAAGCATATGCACTACACTAAACACTAAGCTGTTGGTACTGCTTGCCTTGTGTGTTTGGGCCAAACGACAAGGGACTTTGGAGCAGGAGATAAACAATGTGCAAACCATTCCAGTAGGAAAATGCTTCAGAGCTTACGCATGCGCTCTCCACACTGGAGAAAGCATATTCCACTATTCTATGGAGACATCAGAAAAAGGACTTCAGATTCTAAGTTGGAGTTTGCTTTTTACAAAGGTGAAGTAGAGAAAGCCACATGGGCCCTTGTCAGCTCTGGTAGCTGTGGGAGCGACAGTCTGACCTAAAACAGGGAAGAATATTGACTGTTGGGAAGAGAGTGCTATAGGGACCCGCTCTTTTCACATCTTCGTGGAGTTTACCTTGTCTCAGATACAGCCACAGGTAGGTTAGAGGTGGATTGTCGGTGCAATAAACCCAAGAATCAATGTAGCATCTTAATCCCATCAGGATGGAGTTTGTAGCAGCAAAGTACACAGTCTGATACCGTGTGTTTAACCTTATCCTTCAGAGCTTTCAGCAGCCTCTTTAGGAGAGGCCATTTACCAAAGTTATTTCTATAAGCTCAAGAGTATTCCTGTTCCTAAATTCTTCTAGCCAAAGCCACTTTCTTCCTGTAATAGCTAATACAAATGACTATTTATACTTTACAAGGCACAGCTGTCCTGGTGGGAAATGAAACCTGCAACAGTTCAGGATGACTAATGAAAGCAATTAGTTTGAACATTTATAAACAATTCATACATGCTCTACATTTTTACATTATCATCTCTGTGCCTTCTAATTCCTACATACTTCTCAAAACACTGTTCCAGAAATTAATTCCCCCATAGTATCAAACCTGCCAAAATGAGGAATTGTTTATTTGCTAGCATGGTTGACTTAAAAAAAATAAAAAACACGAAACACGTAATTTTCTGTTACTATAAAAGAAATTTTTCTTAGTTTGTTGACCACAAACTATTACCCTGAGAGACAATGTACTGATATCCAAGATAAAGAAAAAGACTTAAAAAATGATCATTAAATGACAAGAGCTAACCGAATAAAGCAGAACATTATTAGCTAATTATAACCAGGCTCCAACTTCCTTTCACTTTTTTATAAATTAATTTGTCCTTCCCAAATATTCTTTGTACCTAAGAAAATGAAGTAACTTCCTGAGTAGGGGTTAGAATGACTTCAGATTTTCTATTTGATAAAATCCTATCTTAAACACCAAATTACATAAGTTTGTCTCTTCTCTTACAATTGAAAGTGGATTATTTGAAAGAGTACCTAATGGGAAAAAATGGGTGTATTACTTTTTAGAAATAAGTCAGATTTGCTGCCTTCCTCTCTCTTTTTTTATGATGTGAAATGTAGATGGGTGCATTAAAGCTCTTAAGATCTTTTAATTTTTATTTTATGTCTTTCTTTCATAAAATTGAAATTTTCCATCCTTTTTTAGATTTTTCTGTTTTCTTTTGCCTAACCTCTGAGTTTGTATTTTAAATTCTCTAGTTCCATGACATCATTGCTTGTTGTGATGTTACACAGAGAGAATGAACCTTACCTGTGGCTCAGCTCACTCGTCATTTGTTTTTCATTACATGTAAATTAATGGTAATAGCTGGTGTTACATCATTTCCATCTGCACCAGTTTAAAGCATTCCCTCATCTCTTGTTCCCTATTCTTTGTTTACACGTTTGGGCACTTTCCCTCATTCACTGCCTTCCAGGGTTTCATAGAAAATAACTAATTCAAAATCAGTTCCATTCTTATGTGGCATGTTGAAAATTAGGCCCATATAGGGGGAAATTGAGATTTAAAGGGCTGATTCTAAACTTCATACATAGAAGACTCAGCCCAGCCCCCTCAAAACCTGAGAAGATTTAATTTGCCTTTTAATCCCCTTTTCCAAAAGTCTCTTAAAAACTCTCTTGGAAAAACGTCTGTTGGGAAACCGCAGGTGGGTCACACATGAGCATGGTCTCAGTGATGCTCAGGGTTCCGGTCAGAACCTAATCCTCACACCTATTGCCTGGAAAAACAGACCGAGAATGTTGCAGCTCTTTTAGAACCCTCCTTTAAATAACATTCAAGTTTTGTTTGTCTTAAATTCAACCTCTTCCCAAAAATGGGGGGAAAAATCTCATGGTCTTGTGTTGAGAGACACCCACTCACACACCGTACAGCACCCGGCGGCTTCATTCTGTCCCATGCCCACCTCAAAAAACAAAAAAAACTTTTTTTCGAAAAAAACTACCTCAGTTGACAGGATTCCACCTTTAGGGTTTCTTCAACTTTTAAGTCTTACCTGTTGAGTGTAGCTTTTGTAGAATCTTGCTTCTTTAAGCAAGCTAGTGAGGCATGACAGAGCAGAGTACATACGTGTTCCTGTGATGGCCCTCTTTCTAGCATGTTGCAGTTTTATTTTTAATAGATTGATGCGTGATACGAATGTAAAGATGACTGTGTATGTTTAAACATGACAATGGAAATTTAAAATGTAGCTTCCATACTTGTGCATAACTCCAAAGTATTTTATTTTTATCAGTGTTAAATAGCTTTTTGTACAGGCTTCAATCCATTTTTCTGAAGTGTGCTGTTTTTTAATGAAAGTAACTATAATCTTTTCACATCCCATGGAACTGCCGTTTACACATCACAACTTTTTAAACTTACCATATTTTTCAAAATTAACTTTTTTGGAGGGAGGGAAATTCCTGCTTGCTAACTGATACTAAACTGTTGTTTGGGGCTCTTATTAGGTCCTGAGATTTTATAAAAATTTAGTCTGTAGCTTTTTAGGTTCTTCACTAGAGTTGGTTGTACATAAAATAATAAAGAATATAAAGTGACCCCCCCCCAAATTCTTTAAAATGTATGGATTTATCTGGTCTGATGTACTTTTGGAACTATTTCGTTCATGCATACTTTCACCATTAAATTGAGCCTTTAGCTTCTCTGAGTAAATGTGAACCATTTGTTTTGTACTGTGCTTTGTGGGAGGGGATACTTTATTATAATACTTGCCTAAATCGAGAAGTCCCCTCTGAATGTTAATTTTTAAATGTCAAAATTTGGTGAACTATATATCTTGGAAGCAAGATTGCAATATGCTTACATTTAAGTGGTGTTTAAACAAGGAGACAATTCTGGGATTTGTTACCATTGAAGCTCCATCAAGACAAAATGATAGGACCTTATATTTTTGATCAGCTAAATAGCTATCAATGTCATTGTATGAAAATCGTTTTTCTTAAAACTTGTCCCTGTATTATTTTGATCCATATTTTTTGACATTTGGTGCAATAAACCTTTTGAATTTATCTGGGGATTTGTTTGTTACGTTGAATCTTAGGACTTAAGAATCTAGAGGTCTCATTTCCATGAACTCATGTGCGGAAACAAAGTCACTGTTAGTAATTTTCAACGGGGGTTTTGGAAATGTAGGGCCATGTTGCTCAGCGTAATGAAGAGTGACGGGAGGTGGAGGCTGAGGATGAAAGGAGAAATGTCTTGTAATGTGTGGGATACCCCATGGAACGAAGAATTGTCCCATCAGTGGCTTGACTGAAATGTCATGCTGGGCATGCATGTGGGTAAAAAAAACAAACCTGTTTATCGTGATCTAAGCTGAGAATTTAATTCTGCTTTACATAAAAGCACAATGTATTTTTCAGAGGATTTTCATGTATGCTGAATTTTCCAGGAATGTCACTGATGTATAAATTGAGGGAAGATTTGACCTTGTAAGGTTCCAAATTTTAACAAGAATTGACATAATTTGGAAAACATTACCAAAACGACATTACTTATGGAATTTGAGTCATCGATACAGCATATCTGTATCAGTCTTCATTTATATCTGTTGCAGTCATGGAGACTATGTATAGATGGGAGCATCTAGCCACTTCATTATATTTATATTCTAATCTAGTTCCCTAATGTCTATATGTATTTTAAATATCTATATAATAAAAACCTAAGCAACCATTAGGGAGGAACTACCAGAACGACTGGTCACTGTAATGCGCACTGACCATTAGGGGGCAGACGCTCAATGCAGAAGCTGCCCCTTGGTGGTCAGTGCACGCCCATAGGGGCAGTGCCGCTCAGCCAGAAGCTGGGCTCTCAGCTGGCAAGTATAGTTGTGGCGAGAGCCTCTCCTTCCTCCACTGCAGGTGGGCTGTAAAGAGTGAGGGGTCCCAGATTGCAAGAGCTCCAGACTGCGAGAGGGATGTCTGACTGGTGGCAGGTAGACATCCCTCGAGGGATCCCAGACTGCAAGAGGGCATAGGCCAGGCTGAGAGACATTCACCCCCCCCCGCCCCAAATGCAAGAATTTTGTGCACCGGGCCTCTACTATTAATATGTTACTATTTAAGTAGTAAGTGTAGTGCATTGTATTGATTTTTTTTTATAAACTATATGTATAAGAAACTTGCATTATTTATAAATTTTATTTTAGGAAAGTAAAAGACATAAAATATTTATTATGAAAGGGATAAGATCATTGCTACTCATGGTCTGGGGGGGGGTGGTGGGGGGAAATACGCTGCTGTTACTTTTGTAGCAACATAATACCATACTGAATTATGTTGTTTTAAGACATAATGTCTATAGAGAAGTAACATTAGGTATTTCGAAATCCTTTTTGTATTATGTGAAAATTTAAAATGTTTCCTACATCCCCTCAAGCATCTTTAAAATCCATGCTGTTG